CATTAGCATGATTAAATGTTCTGGGATTCCCATTCTTCTCAGAGTCATATAATACCTAATCATACATTCTTTTCATCATCTTTTCCATTGCAGAGTTCACTGTCCACTCTTTTTGTATTCTCTCCCCCAACACTCCATGTCAGTCCTATTTTATGAGTGATGTTATGCAGTATTTGTCCTTTTGTCACTGAAATTTCTCTCAGTAAAAGGTCCTTCAGGCCACCATGTCTTGTAATATTTTGCGAGTTCATTGTTTTTCACTGCTGCATAATTCCATTGTGTGAATGTATCATAGTTTTTGGGCACTTGGATTGTTTCCATCTCTTTGTTATTATGAATAACACAGCAATAAATGTGTACATACATTTGTTTCAGCAGTGGCTCTGGTTTCTTTAGGCTCTAGTTTCTTATTCCCAGTAGTAGAATTGCTGAGTTAAATGGTATTTCTATTTTCAACTTTTTGAGAAAGCATCAGACAACCTTCTAAAATGGTTGTAGCATTTTTACATTCCCACTAGCAATGAATAAAAGTTCCAATCTGTCCAAAACCTCACCAGCATTTATTCTTTGCTGCTCTGTTGAATTTTGTTATTATTGCTGGCATAAGATAATATCTCATAGTTGTTTTAATTTGCATCTCCCTGATAGCAGGGATTTTGAGCATTTCTGGTTTTTTGGTTTGTTTGGGTTTTGGGGGTTTTTTTTACACCTTTTTTTTAAAATTTTAAACCAAGTAGTGTTCCTTTACCCTGTTTGCACAACAGCTTCTTGGTCTATATATAGGAGCACAATTACGGTTCTGCGATACCAATTTTTCTGAATGGTAGAACAAATTGAATAAGATTAAATGAGTATTTCAAAAGTAGAGGGAAAGGAAAAACAATGAAGTAACATGAAATATTAATAAGAGCAAGAGATCCCAGGGTTGACAGTCAACACCAGAGAAAACTGGTTGAAGGGCCCAGAAACTTCCTTCAGCGTCAATGGTGATGTCATTATTGTTATTATGTGCCATCAAGTCACCCGTGCCTCATCGTGACCCGATGGACAATAGCTCTGAATCCTGCCCTATCCTGAGCCATGGAACATCCTGCCACAGAAGAATCCCCACCTACAGAGAAGTGACCCCCTCCTAGAGAAAGGACTTCCACTGGGATAAAAGATGCTCATGGAATAATAAACTGTCTCCCAGGGGTCAAACATGACACAATTTTGCATTTTGTTTTCTCTCCTAGCTTCACAGAACTAAATCTCTCAGAGAGTTAGCAAGATGACAGAAAACTTCCTTGATGAGACTCATGGGAATTCCAAAGTATAGGTAGTTGTCGTACACTTTTATTACTCTCCGATGATTAGAAAACAAATGGTGGCTTCTCCAGGTCTCAAGAGTAGTAGCACTATCTCCCTGCCCCTTTGTAGTGCAGCATTCCTGTTTTGATCCATCATCCAAGGGAGACGCAGCATCAGTGAACTCAGAGGCTTCTTTGGCAATACCTAGGTGAGCCCTAGCATCTTCATGGCTCCTGGAGAATGTGACAGAATGCACAGAACTTGTTTTATTCTTAATAATTCCAAGAGCTTTAAGGAAGATATTATGTTAAAGAAACATAACATGCATACAGAGTTGAAGTTCCTTGTTCTGAAAGGTGAATTTGGATACATTAAAATACCTTGGGAACTGATCTGAACTGATCTGATCCGTCTCTTCTAATGCTGGTTCTGAATCATTGTCTCTTTCTCTCTCAATTGTTTTTCCTTTTGTTT